GCGCAACAACCCAGAAGACAGAATTCTTTATTCTCATCGCTCTGATGATGGAGGCAGTATGACCTCTGAAACGTTGGTAAACATCGACCAGACTACACGGCGCAACAACCCAGAAGACAGAATTCTTTATTCTCATCGCTCTGATGATGGAGGCAGTATGACCTCTGAAACGTTGGTTAACATCGACCAGACTACACAGCGCAACAACCCAGAAGACAGAATTCTTTATTCTCATCGCTCTGATGATGGAGGCAGTATGACCTCTGAAACGTTGGTTAACATCGACCAGACTACACAGCGCAACAACCCAGAAGACAGAATTCTTTATTCTCATCGCTCTGATGATGGAGGCAGTATGACCTCTGAAACGTTGGTAAACATCGACCAGACTACACAGCACAACAACCCAGAAGACAGAAATCTTCATCGCCCTGATGACGGAGGCAGTATGACCTCTGAAACGTTTTTAAACATCGACCAGACTACACAGCGCAACAACCCAGAAGACAGAAATCTTCATCGCCCTGTTCATGGGCGCAGTATGACCTCTGAAACGTTGGTTAACATCCACCAGACTACACAGCGCAACAACCCAGAAGACAGAAATCTTCATACTCTGATGATGGAGGCAGTATGACCTCCGAAACATTGGTTAACATCGACCAGACTACACAGCGCAACAACCCAGACATACAAAATATGGTATGATAAATATTCTTGGAATATCTGTAGGGACATGAACTTGATGAAGTTATCATCTGGGATGTTTTATTTGTTCCTGTACAAATGTAAACACAATATTTAATCTTCAGAATTTTAATAACATAACCATAAACGTGTTAGGTTGTGTCCAATTTTAAAGCTTGCAATATATAAATACGCATACCCATTTGGTAAAACTGTTCTACGCTTTGAATTCATGAACAATAAAGCTCTCCTCCCTTCGGGTTGGGTTGATATTTTTGTACATTTAGTAATGTAGGCTGCGTCGTATAATTGGATACGGAAATTTGCGATCTTCATGTTTAAATTTTGTAATTCAATATGACTATTCACTTGTTCTATCTTCAGTAACTTTTAATAGCCTATTAATTTTTCCGCTTGTTTCGTATGAATGCAAATCTTGGCCTTACCTGCTATGAGAAGAATACAGACCGAGGTGTTTTCAGAACAGGGTTCTGGTGCTAAGATTAATATTTCCAGCCAAACAGAGAAAGTAAAGAGATGATGGGAAAATTTACATAATGAATCTAATCATAATTTGAGGTTTCTACCGCATTTCATTAAAACTATAAGGGGGAGGATATCGAAACGGGGATAGTTGTACTTACAAGAAAAATAAAAATGCATATATAATTTTATCCTGGTGGCTTAGGATATATAACACAAGAGTTGGTGCAGAGGGAAGAAAATCATTGGGAAAACAGAGATAATTTACATCGTGAAGAGAGAGAGAAAGCATTATTTTGTTGCCCGGTCCCCATGATTTCCCTCAGCTTATCCAAATATTATTTCAACCATAAAGATCAACTGGTTAATGCTGTTCAGAGAAACATTGACTTTTTATTCTGAGAATCATACGGAACCCATAGACACTCTGTGAAACCACAGTAGAAATACGAGTATTTAACGTTAAAGTGGGTGGTACATATAATCTACC